AAAGTTTCTGTTTATATTAGTGGAATGATCTTTAAGGCATCTTACTATTGCCTTATGCAATAGTAAGATACAAGCCTTTGAGCAAAATCACTGGTGCTTAATCTAAGGAGGTATGTTGCTATGAAGGACAGTTATTTTTCTTCAGGTATCACCAACCAGTGGTATTCAGGACAGAATTATTATTTCTCTTCAAATAAGATCAAAAGATAGTTTAATCTCCCTGAGATGCCCTGATATTCTTTTCCACACCACTCCTTCTATGCCAATCTAAATCTATGGAGCATTAAGGATCTTTTTTTTATTAGTTATAAGACATAAATGGCACAGCAAAAGTATAACAACTGATGCTTACTAAATGAGATGAGGAAAAATACCTATCTTTTATACAACTAAGAAGATTTTACATTTTAAAATTAGATTACCTGAAAAAATCTCTTGCTCTAATTGAAGGGAAAACAGAGAGACACAGAACAAGCTAAGAATTTAATAGAACACACATAAAATATTCATTTTTCAAAGTTTCTGACCTGAAGATTCTTTGGACTTCAAAAAGGGCTGGGGCTTGGATGGAGAATGTTCTGCTCAAATTACATTTATAGTTCAGCACATCATTTTCAGAACAAAAATATACTTGATAACTAAGGTCTTTTTGTTCTTAAAGGATAGCCGCAAGCTCTTAGCAACATTACCTAATTCATGATTGTTGTTCAAAACTGAACTATATGTTTTTTGAAGTTTTGTCTTTTAGTAAGTTATGGGCAAGTTATGTGGTGTGGGTTATTTCCCCACTGCATAGTGCTCATTTAGACCCCTCTGGGCAGAGGAAACAAATTTTCTGTCATTTTTCAGTTCAAAGTGTCTGAAATCATGTGAGACTCTGTCAGAACCCACTGGGGTGATGTTTCTATAGCATGACACCAAATGCACGTGGCTTGTCTTATGATTCATCATGTAAATATCTGAGGATGGAAGGTCTGTAGGGATTTAACAAGACTATATAGGGAGAATAGAGACAAACTACTATTATCTGGACTGCTTGTAACAAGTGCTGCTAAGTTGCACAGGTTTTTCATTCTTAAGATAGACTTTCCTTACTCCAGAAGAGAGTCCAATAGAGAGCTAATTTATTTGCAGGGGAGATGGCAGAGGGAGAGCACAGGACAGAATCCTAAATTTCTTGTCTTGATATGCAGTCATATAACACTTGTGAGCAAAGAAGTCTAAAATATGTTAAGGAGGTCACTGGGTTTATCTGCTCACTCTGATGAGGGTTCTGATTAGATGAATTTGTGCCTTTGCTTTCTATGCTAGTATTACTGAAGACAACTTGTGGGGACCTAAAAAGTTTTATGACTAATGGCCTATCATTTGGATTATTTTCTTCAACTATGTGCAATGGGATTCGTTTCTTACCATTCCATTAACTACATGGATATTTTAATCTATATGGTCTTCATGGAAAGTTTATAAATAATGATGCCATCCTAACACTCAAAATATAGAAATTAATCCCAAATGTGGACATGTTTCACATCCATGTGTTATATTTCCATAATATTGCAAGTGACTATGTATTAGGATTTAGGTGAGTGCTAATTTTTCTATTTTAAATAATCTCTTTACCTTTTTTTTTTTTCTTAAAAGTGCATGCAAAAATGCTATCCCTTTATTTTTTTTTTAATAATAATTTTTATTTCATCTATCTTCCCAAAGCTTTAAATTACCATCTGCACTGGTCAGTTGTGTTAGCAATGTATTTATTGCATGCTCTGGAGTTGATCTTCAGAAACCCTTTTTTTCAGTGGTACCATATTTCATGCTCCACAACCATTTGTAACTTCGGGGGCATTTTGAAACTTTTTATGGGACTAAAAAGTTTGATAAAATTCTTTTTTATTGATACTTATCCAGAATCTACTGGTTTAAGTCACCATCTCATCTTGCATAGTCTTAAAAATCTGCCATTGGTCATTATTGCTATTTAGTAATGACACTGATGAAATTTCTGTGAACTTATATTTGGAGATTGCCTTTCAGCATTGCTTTAAGAATTATTGTTACCTTTCCATATACATGCATTGCTCTGTGTAGTACTGTATTTTAAGAAAATATTTTATAAAATTACTTGGGTTTTTTTGCCTCCATTTCATAAAAAATAAAAGATGTAGTAAATTAGACCAATCTCTTTGGAAAATTTGGACTAGGCATATAAATGTTAGTTCTACATGCCCCAGATACAGTTTTCTTCTCGGGATGTGTACGTCTGTATTATATATTTTCATTGGTTTTGTTGAGTTTTGTATTAAAAATCTAATATTGCTAGAACAGTCTTAGATACTGTCATAATTTAGAAAGGCATGCAGTGATAGGACATGGGATACAAGGTTTTAAAATAAAAGAGAGTTTATTCAGAATAGGTGTAGGAAAGAAATTTCTTACAATGTGAAATACTGGAGCAGATTCCCCAGAGAGCTCGTAGATGACCCATCCCTGGAAATGTGCAAGGTCAGGTTGGACAGGGCTCTAAAATACCTGATCTAGTTGAAGATGTCCCTGTCATCGCAGGGGTTAGGACTAAATGACCTTTAAAGGTGCCTTTCAACCCAAATCATTCTATGCAGGATAATGGCAGAAATGTCACAAGGGAAACTCTTCCTCTGGTGTCTGCTAGTGCATCTATGAGAGGAGTAAAGAAAATATTTTAGAGTACTTCAGTTTAACAGACATAGACCTTAGTCAATTTTTAAGTGAATTTTGTGGTATGGCTAGTAATTGAAAATCTGAGTGATGTGGGAGGAAGAATGCATGGAAATCGAGATGCAAATAATCCTCTCTTTGGTTTGCCTTCCCCAAAAAAACAGAATGGAAAGATGTTTGCAATTTTGCAGTGTTAATAGGCTGATTGAAAATAAGGTTAATAGAATATACTCTTTAAACCTCCCTCTTTAGATATTTTACTGGGCAACAAGAACTGAAAATTCCCAAGACTATTAAGAGAGAGAATGAGGATAGATCCTCACTCAGTAGTCCAATGCAATTATTATTGGAAGTGAGAAGTGGTTCCAGATAATCTGAAACATACTTTGTCCTAACTAATTCAGTGGAAAATAGTCAAGAAGACTTTGTATAATGTCTGGAGTGTAGGGTTCCTTCACATCAGGGAAGAGTCATAATCACTTGTAGAGTCCTGTTTGTGTCTGTCTTGTCCACCCTCCAACTTCATGCCTAGTTGAGATTCCACTTGAATGAGGAAGATGGAAGATGGATTCACTGTCATGTAGCCTAAATTCTAGTGGTCAGAGCACATCTCTGGTAACCAAGGAATCAAATTAAAATCTGCTTCAAATTTTGTTTGTCACTTGTTGTTGTTTTTTTTTTTTTTTTTTTTTTTTTTTTTTTTTTTTTTTTTTTTTTTTTTTTTTTTTTGCAGAGTGGTTGGCAAGTTGTTATGGGCTTGAATAGGAAGAATTTCATAAAGCAATTTATTTTACTGGGTAAAAGTCTCTAGCTTTAATTTATCCCTGCTCTGGAAAGCCTATATATTGCGCACTCCATTTTGCTGGTGAGTTCTTTAACTGGTTTGTAATACTGTATAGTAACTTTGCATACACCCACACTCCTTCTGCAACTCTGCTTCTGAATGAAATTAGCTGAGTCAATGGGTGCTATGCTTTGTGGTGAACTTAACACTAAAGAAAAACAGAGATATTGTAACACATATGCAGAATAGACTCATTCACAGATTTCAAATGTTGGAAGTGACAGGTCAGTGCTGAGAAGCTATTTCTCAAGATAGTACAAGTCATTATGTAAGTCTAGTGTTGAAAATGTCAGTGACAGTGAGTGATCGGGCAAGTATGCAGTGAGATAAGTGCCATATGAAATAGTAATGATGGTGCAGATTTGTGTAGCATTTGCTACAGTTAATATTTCGTAATAAGTTTAACTAGCTCAGAGAAAGTCGTAGATAACTGGAATATTATGATTTCTTTTTACATATTCAGATTAATCATGCGATGTTTCAGATTTTAGAGTTTTGTTTATATTCTCTTCAAATGTCTCTGGTATAAATTCCCAAACTAATTAGCAGGTATGGTATATGGGTGCTTTTTACATAAAGCATGAACATAACATAGTTATAACAGCTTACCTGGTTTCTTCAAAGTCATAAAATATTTCTCTTTCCTGAACAATTATATATTTTGTTTTGTAGTATCTTTGTGAAAAATGCTTACTTTCATTCTCATTATTTCTAATTCTCAGAGTATGTTTTCTATCATGGTTGTACTTAAATGACAAAAAGAAGTCACGTTCTGTATAGAGTAGTAGAACATAAATTATGCTACAGCCCCTTTAAATTTTGTAATCTGTTGTACTTTTGTGCTGTAAGTCTTCAAATAGGTAGTAATATCAGTAATATACAAATATTGAGTAATATAAAAATGTGTGTGGCAGTATAGCCTCCCTTTTTATTACTGAATTGAAATAAATGTCATTTCACTGTCAATACACAGTGACATTCAAGTACTTTAATATTTTATTCTTTCTTCAGAGTGGCATCAACTCTACTAGGGCTAATTTGGGGTATTGTAGAATAGGGTTGTGACAAGCAAAGAAATGATCTTAAGGAAATAGGATCTATACAAATGTGACGTGCAATAGCTTATCATGTTACTCCCAAGTTCACCCACACCCTAATCAAATACAAAGTCTTATCAGAGGTTTTAATGTCATTGAAGTTGCAGCTGGCTTCCATACTGCAGGATTTCCCGTCCAAAAGGGCAAGGGGGTCGTTAGAAGTTTAAGAAGCCTTAGTACAGAGTAAACCATTTAGAAGAATGGCGAGCAAACAATGTATGCCCTGGATATGCTGAAGTATATAAGTCTAGGAATCTTTCACATCTCAGTACAGATCAACATGGTAAACTCTGCTTCCTGCGCGTCTCTTTTCCTGAAGATTTTTGCACTTCTGTGCAAAATTTTCAGTTCTTTCAGTCATCCTGGAGGCACGGGCCGTCCTCAGGAAGGCTCTTCCGCTAGTGCCCGTCCTTCCCCTCCATCCCGGGCGGGTGGGAGCGGCAGGGCAGGTTGCGCGGTGCCGGGAGAACCCACCTAGAGGGCCCCCTTGACGCCAGCACAGCCTCTGCCAGGCAGAGCCCTCTCCGCAGCCGAGCCCAGTCTGCTGCAGGACCAGTGCCACGCAGCCCGACACTGTCCGGGGCTGCCGCGCTGCTGCTGCTGCTGCTGCTGCTGCTGCTGCTGCTGCTGCTGCTGCTGCTGCTGCTGGGCGAGGAGACCAGCAGCCCGAGGGCAGGCTGGACATTCTGGTCCGGGAAAGGGAAGTGTGAGCCTGTTGACTCTGCATTGCTTCAAAATAGATGCCGTCTCTGTAGCCTGGGCTTAAGAATCTTCCCGAGGATGTTTGCCAGAGCGTAAGGAGTGATAACTACTGTCTGGGAGCTGAATTGGGAAAAAAGGACAGCAGAGAAAGAATGCTTAGGTAACATGGGACTTATAGCTTTGCTTTCGTTTTGAAACATACAAATTGATGCACGTGGGTTTATATACAGTATAATATCAAAACAGAACTAGACTCTGCAGTGAGAGTCAATAGCTTAGTCATTTCACTTAAAGGGAGCAGGCAGCCTTATTATGGGGTTAGACAGCAAAAATGAATGTGATCATGACATGATCCTATCCCTTGATGGTCTCTAACTGTAGTCCTGTCCTATGGAGTGTAAAAAGCATACCTCCTTCCTTCTTTCTTAGCTGAAGAAACAAAGTAACAGTATCAAATTCAGAAAGAAGTTTGGGGTTGTTGTACAAGGCTATTAAACGTCCTTCTGTTCCCCAGGCTCGTAAGAAAGGAAAACTGCATTAAATTGATCATTGATGAATATGTGTCTAAGAAAGAAGAAAAAGCAATATTCATTTCTGAACATGGCAAAGCAGTCTGAAGTTACACATCTCTCCCTAAACACTGATTTGGCACAGATGACAAGAAACTATCGTTTAATTAACCTTTTCCAACTGTCCAAAATGCTGCATATGAAGATGCTTTAATTCACAGTCAAAGCACTTGGATTTTTATCAAGGCAAACTGTTGGCATTGTCAGAACAGTTTCTGTATACTGATTAGTTTAATGTTTTTTTTAAAATAGCAAGTGATGCATAAATGGATGGACGTGTACCTAGAAAACCCTGTGAGAAGTCTTTCACTGGATCCTGGGAATTTTTATTTTTGTGGATTACAGTAATTCTTGCAATAATCCCTGCTGTTGACTGCTCATGCAGTTGTTCTGGCATGCATCTATGAATACCATAACAGATAAATCAGTCTGACAAGGAAAACACTAATGTTGGAAGACCTGTGAACATGATGCATGTGAATAATTTCCCCTTTAGGAGGCATTCATGGATATGGTGAGTAATCAATACACATTATAGACTGTTAAACTCAAAATGCTTGTTTGCAAAATACTGTGACAACTACCAGATGCTATGTTTTTACCTAAGTAAGTGTCAAGTGAGGACTACCAGAGCTATGAGAGAAATGAAAATCAGACAGAGGTAGTCGTGATGAAGTAATATGAGTTTAGCACTTCTTTATATTTGCAAAATAGGCAAGCCATAGAAATTGTATTGTTTTGGTCATGTTTTCTTACATAAGTATTTTGAGCAACGTGATGTATTTTCTTCCTGTGTCAAAGGAACAGTTCTTCACATTTCCTTGTTAATGTGATTTGAAGAAAGTAACAAAGGTATATTTCCCCCCTATGGTTTGTTTGTCCTAGAACTTACTTATTCACATACTTTCAGGTGACCTGAAAAAGATGCTCATTCATATAGCAATTCGGTAATCATTTATTAAAGATATGCGTAAATGCTGTAAAATGCTTTTGTATGGGAGGTTTTCAAATGTGGCTGTTTGAAAGACAATCGCATAGCATTAAAATCCCTTTATCATCATTAAAACATCTGTTTCCTCTTTGAATCACAGGCATCTATAGTCCTTCCTGACTGAAAAACCTTTCTACTTGCCTTACAATACAGTGCAGTTAACTTGCTTATAAATTCTACCAGTGGTTGTTGCGTCACGTCTTCTTCCTGATGCTGGAATTAGAGTGCTGGTGAGCGCCTAATGAAGGCGGTCAGCTAAGGCGGAAATACTTCCCCGCAGCCCTCGCGCCGTTCGGGCCGCGGGGCGCGGGCCCGCCCCGGGCGCCTCCGAGCCCGGCCCGGCCGGGGGCGCGCGGGCCGCGGGGCCGCGGGGCGCGCCGCCGTCACCGCCCGCGCGCCGCCGTCACCGCCCGCGCGCCGCCAATGGCAGCGCCCGCGCGCCGCGCGCCGCCGCGGGCGGGGGAGGCGGGGCGGCGCCGCGCGCCGGGCGCGCTCCGGCGGGCGCGCGCGGCCGGCGCCTCGGCCGGGCCGGCGGTGGCGGCCGGAGCGGCGGGAGGCCGCGCCGAGGCCCCGGGGGCAGCCTGGAACCGCCCCCCCGAAATTGCTAGCGAGATCTCGCATCTGTTTCCTCTTCCCTTTTGGCGGTTTTTTTTAGCAGTGTGCTGGAAAGGACACTGCAGGTGTGCCCGCACCTGACAGGGAAAGCGCTTCCATTGTCTTCTAAGAATATGGTTTACTTCTCTTTTTATTAACTTAGAGAAACGTTTTAAGCACTCCTTAACCCACGGGTTAATCTCCCGACCAAGCATTGTTCAAGCATGAACAGTGAAGTCTGCTGAAAGATGCTAGGGAAGTACCGTCCGTTTTTTATTTATCTTCTCTAAAAGCTGGTACCTGTCTTCCCTGTCTGCTCCTTGCCAGCCCTTGCTGTCTGCCACAGTATTGAGCCCATTGTCTGGGGAAGCCCAGCAGAAGTGTCTGACGGGAAGACATTCGAAGATAATTATATGTTCTATATTTGCTATTTTAACTGGATGCAAATCATACCATGCTTTCTGCCTGCATTTGTGCTTACCTAATCACAAGCCTTAATTTAGAACGCAAATGTTTTTAGCATGCTGTTGTTCATGTCAGTTCTCAGAGAATAGGCAAGTTTGCTTATTCATGCTACAGTAGGTCTGTAAGGGTTATTTTTGAGTGTCAGGATGTTAACTCGCAAGTCATTGATTTTCTTTTAACTCTGAACCTTCAAAAATCCACACAGTGACTGTAAGGTATGTTATCCTTTTCTCATGGGAGTAGAAATTGTCATGGAATGCTCTGTGTATATATATACACTCTCTTATGCTACTTGCAGATATCCTTTAGAGAATGGCAATGGAAATAATAGAAAGAATATCTTTCATGGGACACAAATAGTTTTATGTTTATTAATACAAATACTAGTTGATCATCTTTAATATTTCTTCAGTGCTGATGCAACAAATCAAAGGTGCCCTTTGGTCTGTGTTATATGCTTCATGACATTTATAACCTCTATGAGCATTCAGAACCTAATATTTTAGAATATTTGACAATTCATATTAAAGTTATTTTCTTTACTTAAGAGACATGCATTTTGCCTTCATGTGCCAGTTCCTGCTTGTCTTGCATGAAATATGGGGAGAAAGAGTTGTGGGGAATAAAAATATGAACCTTTCTGAAATACAGTTTATTGTTTTGAATATCCAGGATTTAAATGTTGTGTAACAAGCCAAGGGAGTGGATGTGTCTTTTGTGTTAGGCCCTCTGTTTGGCTTTAGGGAAAAACAGCCAAAAAAGTGATGGCCTATAGAGCAGGGTTTGATTTGGAGCCCATAACCTTTAGTAAATGTAGTGAAAATTCCAGTATTTGAACCCTTCTAATCATTTTAGCAAAAGGTAGGTAGGAATGGACTGCTAACAAAGAGCAGCAATAAAATGTGTATGTTCCTAGGCAGTATGACCGGGAGCACATCTGTATCAGACAGATAAATGTAGCTGTAATGTAAATAGACTCTAAACAGCTTACAAAACTGAGACTGGAGTAAGCAAAATAGGGCATTTTGTCTGAAACTGTTTCAGAGTTTGGATAACAGAGGAGCAAATGCAAAATACATTAAAGAGGTGCAGTGGTTGGAGGAAGTGATGTCCTGGGTGAGGATAAAGTTAGACCTGGAAATACACATTTGGGGTGATAATTGGAGGAGTAGGATTTTATAGCTACTTACCACATTACACACTATACAGCATAAATTATGTATCAACAGTATGTAGCCTACTGCCATTCACTCTGGAATTATTTTAGAAACATTTACTGCTGAGTTATGTAACCTGGCATTCCTTTCCATTGCATTCTATCTGCATTTGTGATGACAAACCAATTTTAGCTTGCTTAATTGCATAAACAGCTACTGCATGTGCCTTTTAGTTATATCATAAGGAAAATAGAAGAGGAAAAAGCATGTCTGCCTTTAAACTGGCATAGATTTGAAATTAATTCAGAGGTTAATACCCTAACTTCAGAATCAAAAATAATAACCTGTGACTTTTCATTCTTTTCTATCAAATTTCAGCCTATTAAGATTGAATAAAATTTAATTTGCTTATCAGGGCAGGGAATAAAAGAAAAAAAATCCTCTCTTGGTTTTTTTTTAATCCCCCATATTTACTTGAGTATTGTTGTTCTATATACTTAAATGAAAAACAGTGCAAATGCATAGTTATGCACATTACCCTTTGCCTCATATACATTTTATTTTTAACTGTTTTTTCAAAAATTTCTTAGTATCATCAATAACATGATTTATCATTAGTGCTGTCTAACAGGAGAGGTCATGGATGACTGCAGGTTGGCCAGTTTGATGGCCATCCACAAGAAGAGCTGGAAGGAGGATCTGGGGAACAGGCCTGTCAGCCTGACTTCGGTGCTGGGGAAGGTCATGGAACAGATCACCTTGAATGCCATTAAGTGGCACTTCAAGGGCAAACAGAGGATCAGGCTCAGCCAGCATGGGTTTGGAAAGGCAAGTTCTGTGTGATCAACCTGATTACATTTTATGACCAGGTGACCTGTACAGTGGATGAGGGAAAGGCTGTGGATGTAGCCTACCTGGGCTACAGGGAAGCTTTTCCCACAGCAACACTGTTTCCCACAGCATTTTCCTGGGAAAGCTGACTGCCCATGGAGTGAATAGGTGCACCCCTTGCTGGGTTAAAAACTGTCAGGATGGCTGGGCCCAGAGAATGGCTGTGAATGGAGTGACATCCAGTTGGTGATAGTCACGAGTGACATTTCCCTGAACTCAGGATTGGGATCAGTCCTGTTCAGTTTCTTTATTGATGATCTGCATGAGGGTGTTGAGTGCACCCTCAGTAAATTCACAGATGATACCAAGCTGGGTGGGAGTGTTGATCTGCTGGAGGGCAGGAAGGCTCTGCAGAGGATCTAGGCAGGCTGCATCGATGGGCTGAGGCCAATGGTGTGAGGTTCTACAAGGCCCAATGCTGGGTCCTGCCCTTGGGTCACAACAACCCCAGGAAGCTCCACAGTCTGGGGCAGGAAACCTGCTCTGTGGAAAAGGACCTGGGGGTGCTCATTGACAGCAGCTGAACATGAGCCAGGGTGTGTCCAGGTGGCCAAGAAGGCCAATGGCATCCTGGCCTGGATCAGCAATGGTGTGGCAGCAGGACCAGGCAGGGATTGTCCCCCTGTACGTGGCTTCTGTGCTGATGAGGCCACACCTCAAATCTTGTGTCCAACTCTGAGTACCTCACTTCAAGAAAGACACTGAAGTGTCAGAGCAAGGCCAGAGAAGGGAAATGGAAGTGAGGGAGCTGGGGGTTTTTATCTTGGAGAAAAGGAGGCTCAGGTGTGACATTATCATGCTTCAGAACTGCCTGAAAAGAGATTGCAGCCAGGTGGGGATTGACCTCTTCTCCCAGGAAACATGACAGGATGAGAGGACATGGCCTTAAGGGGTTCAGCTGGGACATCAGGAAGAATACCTTCACTGAACGTGGTGTTAAGTTTCAAAATGTGCTGCCCAGGGAGCTGATGAAGTCACCATCTCTGAAGTGTTCAGGGAATAACTAGACATGACACTTAGTTCTATGGTGTAGTTGACAAATTGGTCAATTTAAGGTTGGAGTCCATGATTTTCAAGGTCCTTTCCAAGTCAGATGATTCTATGATTAGTAAATCCCTGAAATAATTCAATTGTTAGTAAACTTCAGTCTTCTGTTTTTGCCAGTATTCTAAAATAATTATGCCAATTTTTTTTTATTTTTGCCTCTTATGGAATGCTACATGATTTTCAGCCAGCCAAAATTGGTTTGGCTTTCCATTATTATGCAAGTTTTTCTAGTTTATAAAAGTAAAATGTGTAACTGTAAAGAAAACTGATGGAAAATGAAGATATTATGTTAATTCCTGAAATCAACTTAGTTATGTTCTTAGGAATGTGATGAGTCACCTCAGCTCATGAAGTTATCATGGGGAACTG